CATACGCCTAAGTCCCATATTTTCCTACCGACCCTCCGGGACCGTCAAATCACGGGTACGGGTCTGTTTACCCAAAATGTTGACCGAAGTCAAATTAGCTCATTTTATAATCAAAACTTATCATTTTTCATAGATTATCATATTTAAGCTTTCCGGCGACGCGCCCAGACTGTACACGCAAATCGAGGTGACTTTAAATGAGGTTTTCAAGGCCTCAGAGCACGGAATTTTGTTTTAAAATAAGTGATGACATTTTGGGTCATCACACTAAATCCTCCTGAGATTGCAATCCACATTTACAAATTTTTTCTGTTACTCCTGTCTCTTTTGGATTTTTTTGAACTTCCACTCCATCAATAGATTCTACAAATATTTGCAATCACACTAAGTTTATATGTATTACACTGTTGAATATAAATTTCAATGAAAATAAATTCAAAACTTATATCTAACCTTTCCCAATATCAGTGACATTATCAGTTTCATCATCTAGATGTGCATCTCTAAAATCTCTTTCATACTGAACTTCTGCATGCACATCCATATCATCACGTTCATCGCCACCTGCATCTTTGTTAATTGTAACAGTAGGCTCTGTACCATGACAATGATCATCAACTCCATCTTTAGTAATTGGAACACTAGATTCTCTCTCTATGTTCCTTTCATTAGGTTTCACATAAATCTTCAACAAAGTATCAAGCTTTGATCCTAGACTTTCTTTAAATCCTGAGAAAGAAACTAAGTTAGAAACTTAAGGACAGGTAGTCCTAAACTTTTAATTCCAAGTTAGAAACTTAAGGACACTTGGTCCTGGACTTCAAGTTTCAAGTTCAAAAGTTCAGGACAAATGGTCCTGAACTTAGACTTACAGGTTCAAAAGTTAAGGATACTTGGTCCTAAACTTCATGTTTTAAGTTCAAAAGTTAAGGACATGCAGTCCTAAACTTATAGTTTTAAGTTCAAAGTTAAGGACAGGCAGTCCTTAACTTATAGTTTTAAGTTCAAAAGTTAAGGACAGACAGTCCTTAACTTATAGTTTTAAGTTCAAAAGTTAAGGACAGACAGTCCTTAACTTATAGTTACAAGATCAAAATTAAAGGACAATAGGTCATTAACTTCAAGTATCAAGTTCAAAAGTTAAGGACAGGGAGTCCTTAACTTTGAATTCCAAGTTCAAAAGATAAGGATAATGGTCCTGAACTTCAAGTTTCAAATTCAAAATTTCAGGACTTAGACTTACAAGTTCAAAAGTTAAGGACAGGCAGTCCTTAACTTTGAGTTACAAGTTCAAAAGTTAAGGACACAAGGTCCAGAACTTAGACTAACTGAAATTAATGATATTACCTTGATTTCATTCTCAATCTTTTTTTCTGATACATCTATTTTCTGATTTATCCTAGTAACTTCAGGATGCAGATCCTTTCTAAAACTCTCTGATAATCTCTGAATAAAAAAACATAAAAACAAAAAAGTCTATTAAGCAAAAAATAATCAAATAAAAGACTAATGTTATTCAAAGGCAGAAAACCTACTTTAACAATTTCCTTAAGCGTGGCTTCATCAAATTGTGTGGAATAAGGCATTGAGTTTTGATCTTGAGAAATTGGCTCTTCCACACTAATAGGCTCTGTATCTTCTTCAATAGGAATAAATGGTGACATCTCGATCAACTTATACAACTATTATATAACAAAAAAAAACATAAGTTTTCAGAACTAAAACAAATAAACAAACAAAAAATAGCTAGTAATTAGATTAACTTACATTATCATTATGAAAGTATTTTTTACACAGAGAATCATACTATGGAGATTTCATGTCCAAATAACATAACATCCGAGGAAAACCGTATTCTTGGAAGTTCAGAAATTATTTTTCCTGGAAAATAGGCAATACTTCTATAATCCAAACACAAAAAGCAAAAGGAAAGCCAAGTATAGTGTAGATATCCTTGTCTTTATCTTTACCTTTCTCTTTCTCTTTCTCTTTCTCATTCTCATTGGACTTCAAACAACTCTTCAATAATTTTAATAATGTTTCATAAGAAAGAGAGCCCCAGTTGAAAGAAGAGGAAAGTTCATCATCGTCTACAATTTTCATTATCTGCTCTGACACATTCCTATTCTTCCACTTCCCCATAAAAATAGATTCAACAAAATAAATTGTTGCCAACTTCACAGCATCATCATCGTTGCCTACAAATGATGCAGTTGTACAATGTGGGTGACTAGTAATAAAATTAAACAAATCACCCAACTCAACTCTATCATTTCCGGGGAAATAGACTTTCGAAAGCATATTCTCTTTTTCATGCAAACCTTTGATGTCCAATGAAGAATAACACTTCAAACCAGTAATTATATGAAATGCATCACGTGTAAACTTAATTTCACGGTCAAAAACCTTGAATGTCATCGAATCAGGCTCATTATTTACAATTTCTAAAAGCAATACACAGTGAATAAGTTTACCACAGAACTTAACACTTTGTAATCGGAAAAAATTTCCAAAAATACCATCCCTCAACTTCTTCCACTGCATGTTTGACAAAAAAGTTTTGATTGTTTCCTTATATTGTAAATCTCCTTTCCAATAGATCATAAAATTACGCTAAACATCAAACTAGAACACACGATCTCCTTCCATTATCACACTACAAAGAAGGAAAAAGAACATAAAGATTAGGACTTATAGTTACAACTTGAAAAGTTCAAGGCACTTAGTCCTTAACTTCAAGTTTCAAGTAAAAAAGTTAAGAACAGGCAGTCCTTAACTTAAAGTTTCAAGTTGAAAAGTTAAGGACAATAGGTCATGAACTTCAAATTTCAAGTTCAAAAGTTAAGGGCACTTGGTCCTTAACTTCAAATTTCAAGTTAAAAAGTTAAGGACATGCGTCCTTAACTTATAGTTTTATGTTGAAAAGTTAAGGACACTTGGTTCTGAACTTCAAGTTTCAAGTTCAAAAGTTAAGGACACTTGGTTCTGAACTTCAAGTTTCAAGTTCAAAAGTAAAGGAGACACTTAGTCCTGAACTTTGACTTACAAGTTCAAAAGTTAAGGACACTTGACCCTTAACTTAGAGTTACAAGTTAAAAAGGTAAGAACAAGCAGTCCTTAACTTATAGTTTCAAGTTGAAAAGTTAAGGACACTTGGTCCTGAACTTCAACTTTCAAGTTCCAAAGTTAAGGACACTTGGTCCTTAACTTCAAGTTTCAAGTTAAAAAGTTAAGGACACACAGTCCTTAACTTTGAGTTCCAAGTTCAAAAGTTAATGTCGCTTGGTCCTTAACTTTTATGAACACAATTAACTAAAAATTCATAAACACAGTTAGCATATGAATTCGTACGACTGTTTTTATGAAATGTCCTTACATAATCAAATATATTGATTGAACTACAAACACATTTCAATACAATTTTTTTTTGAATAACAACCTCACAAAAATACGCTACTTATTCGACACTGAATCAACTTATAATCATTATTTTTGAAATTTCACACATACTTGACACAGCATTGATCGCGAACACATATACAAAAACAAAAATGCACAAAAGCAAAAAAAAATACTAGTTCGATCGTTCGTAGCAAAGAAAATGAAGAAGGAGAAAGATTAAGTGCAGCTGGTTTGCATGCGAGGACGAGGACAATATAGATGAGGAGCACGCGAAACTTGCCCTGAAATTTTCGCTCCCAAATTTTCCCTCTTCTGAATGAATAAAACAAGGGTTTAGGAATATAAGAATTGAAGAAAGGATAAAACTGTCTTTTTGCTATTAGTAGTGGCTATTTTTGCTGAGCATTATAATTAGTGGATAAAAAATAAAGACCACCTTACTTAGTGGCTACCACACGCCATTTTTACCAAAATTTTAATAGCTTATGTTTTTCCCCATTGACACGAAATGTCCCTCCGGCCCAAACATATTACATCTAATAGCCCGAAATATTTATTTAGTACGTATAGTTTTTGTATAGTGACAGTCTATTTGTAGAGTGACAATCTATTGTATATTTTTTGTACAGTGACAGTCTATTTTGTATATACATTGCATAAAATTTGTATATAGAGTATATCGTGCATCTTGCAATATATCCATAACGTATCATTAATGTATCCCGAGCGTTTTTGTGTATCTAATGTGTAATTTTGTATATATAAAGTGTATCGTGCATTTTACAATGTATCATTAATGTATCCTGAACGCTATTATCCAAAATAAAAACTCATGGCATATTTAAAACCCTACTTTCTTTATTAAATTTCGTGTTAAAATAATTAAATAAAACGCAGAGAGTATAAAGTATTTCCCCTTGTTATTCTGGTCTACAATACATGAGGCTTTGAGTCCTTAATCATCAACTCGAAAAAGACAGAAACTTCGTAGGTAGCATCAACCAAATCAATTAATTACAAGTACTTTGTGTATATAAAGCCCTCATTCAAAGTGAAGAACACATAATATTTCCAGCTCTTAAACTTGCTTCTTATTAGCTTTAGCGTGGCACAGAATTAAAAATGAAACATGATGAGGTTAGGACAAAAATTAATCATGGCCAAGTCACATATTTTCTACTGATGGATGAACGATTTAGGCATTACAATTGTTTAATGAGAACCAGCATGAGACATTTGTTAAAGAAGAAAAATAAGAAAATTAGATGGATGATGAAGTTAATCTGGATTAAACCAGCAGTAGCTTAAGGAACATGCGGCAGCTTTAATGAGAACGTAGACGAACGATTTAGGGTTTATAATAATGTATGTCGGTATGTGGAGAAGACCAATTTAGGCTAGCCATTATAATTTGTTTGGGGCTATAAATTGTATGGTTTAATTCATGGCTAGCGAATGATAATTGTTTCCACCGACCGGCTACAAATGAAATTTGCTCATCTATACATGGTCAGAGACTTGCTATAGGCCATGGTCGTGAAAGAACATTTATCGAACACTACACTCTAAATCCAACAGGGACATAAACGAACCAGAAATGCGAACGCCAAAAATAAAAATAGAATTAACACATGCAAAGATTGTGTCCAAAAATACAAGGGGTATGTATTCTATCTTTTTCCTGACAACACTTCGACCAAAGTAGTAGTAAATAAACATACATCACAAGAATGATCACTACAAACACACATGAAACAACCATGTTTGCCTAACTAAAGTACTAAAACATATTAAAACAAGCATATCAGATCAGAGGTTAACCAAAACATATGAACGAAACCAAGCATATCTGTCCAACTGAAGTCGCCAATTTCTATATCTGTTATATCCTATAGCAGAGGCACGCAAATCATTCTTCCCCAAAATCATCCCTTTATTATATTGCTGCTCTCAAGGCCCCTCTAGCAGCTTCTTGTTTCATCTGTGCAGCTTTACCACTTCCTCGGAAATACATGTATACTTGCTGCATTATGACATTACAAGTAAACCAAAAGGTTAGATTCTGTGCTCGAGTAAAAAGATACTCTGGAGCATCGAGAAATAAAAAATGAGTCTGACCTGGATAACCCAAATGCTCAGCACTGATTCGAGACAAAATAGCCCGAAACCGATGAAGTAGAAAATCTAAGAAGGGAAAGACAATGGATACATGTTAATAGGCAGAACTTTTGTAGCTTGATAAAGATGCTATGCATTATGATAGAGACACTATGGATTATGCTCAAATAGTCCTAACTCACCCCAACAAGTACATTTTTGCCAATGAGATCCACTGCAGGCAGGATGCCTCTGTTTCAACAAATAACCAAACATCAGATCATTATAAGTTTTTTTTTTTTTTTTGACAAGGATCAGATCATTACAAGTTATAACAGTTAGCTACTAATGTAGATAAAAAATCCACACAAAAGAAGGCTAATATCCATCTGGGAAGTAAGTTCAAACTGTGAAAGAATAAATTACCCAAACTCACTTATCCTCCCTTATTTTCTCCTATATGGGATTAGGAAGCTAATCAAGTAAATTTAGAGGAAGAAGTTCTACAACTTTCTTAAAGAAGAAAATGCAATATGGAACTTACGTAAGGGATTTTCCTCGGAAGACTACTGGAGGAGCAACAGCAGCAAAGATACAGAATATAATGTGAACCTGTAAACAGAGCAAAGTCTAAGATAGCTGCACAATTGAGTCGGATATCAAAGAGACCTTGGTAACAAGGACTCAGGTACACTTTTGAACTATCCTTGTGAAGTACCCATTCCCATGTCATTCACGTTTGGCGTATAACAAGGCAAAAAAATAGTCTATATAAAAGAGGAAGACAATTGTGTAAGGAACTTACCATGTAAAACAAGAAAAACCACGCAAACTTCATGGCACCCTCAGTTCTGTGACCAAGTAGTATCTCTATTAGTAGGGGAGGAAAAAAGAGCACAAACAGGGAGATAAAAGGCATAGGCAACATTTTGCCTGTGATCCGGGAAATGGACCTATACCCGACCAACCAGTAAGATCTTAAGTTAAGAAAATTTTTATGCCACATTTGACAAAATTTTAGAATATAATACTTCAGCAATAACAAAAACCAACTGATAAAAAATCACTGTTTGCATCCAAAAATGATCTGATCATTTCTGAAGTAACTCAATTCACTTCTCCGAAAGACAGGAAAATTACCTAAAGGCACGATACAGAGGACGATACCACAGGAAATAGGCTCCAGGAACTCCCGATATGAAGTAAATGATAGAAAGGAACCAGATCTTTACATCTAAAGCCAAAAACAAAAGTTAGTAATCCGGCTCCTACGGATAAGTAAAGACACGTAGAGATAGGGAACATGCTGATCAGTGTACCTCCTTCTTTAATCCATGCTGTAGTGGTAGCTACAATGTTCCACACAAGGCATGCAATAAGTCCTGCTCACAATCAGCATATATCTCATCAGCAAGAGATAAATAAGATACTCGCATACAGTATGAAATGAGTAAAAGTAAACAAAAGAATCTTTAAAAAATTATTCCATATAACGTGTAAAGAACTTTTATTAAACGACCAAAACAATTAAATACTAGCAAAAGCCTGTATGAGTTGCAATATTCATGACAAGATACAGCTAAGATGTTGATAGAGAGGGAGCTATGCCATATGGATCCCTTATTGTCTGCCAGTACAATCAATTTTGACATAGCTATCGGTAATTACAGGAAGACTTTCTAAAAAAAAACTAGAAATTAGTGAAAAATTGCCCCCAGTACTACTGGATACTTACACTGTTACTGGATATGTACACATTTCCGAGTCCATGGACAAAAGGAAGAAAAATGTGAAAAGGCTACCAAATCAATTTTTCTTTCTATGCGGACTAAAATAGAGTCTTTTTTTTCTACATTATTGTAGTACCTAATTCATTCCAGTGTTATCAAAGGTGAAAAGCGCAAGAAAGCTCTAAGGTCCGTTGGGGCTTTAAGTGCATGGCGCAAATAAAGCGTGGGCTTTAACAAAGAAAGGCGCAAATGAAGAAAATCTACAAATATGTATGTGTAGTCTAAGACTAATATCTATAAGCATGAATACCATATATATGGACAAAGAAATTGAAGAAAATTTACGATAAAGTGAAATATCAATTGTTTAGTGTTGCCTCTTTAGGATTACGCTCATTGACAATGAAAAGTATGTCGTAAAGCCTTGATGGCAACACTGAAGCGCCCGCTAAGCGAGGTGAAGCGCTCAATATGCTTTGAGCCTCGCTTCAGGGCTTAAGTGTGCTTTAAGCGCGCCTTTGATAACACTGATTCATTCAGGGTCTCTGAAAAATGCATTAGATATGGATGTGACTTTTCTTGGTCCTTATTTTTTTTGAGAAGGAAATTTTCTTGGTCCTCAATTTAACATTATTTTTATATTCGTTTGGTTGATGCAGGATATGCTTCAAGGGTGGATGAAAAACAAAAGATGAGAAAATATCAATCAAAGAGGGAAACAAATAACAAAGGCTTTAGGTCCCAAGAATACTAAACGTGCGAAAATAAAAACATTCAACATGTTGGATTGTTGAATACAATGATTAAAGTCTAAAAGAACTATTTAACCGATTGGCACTATTACTACTTCAGGAGTCGGAACTATTTTTCTGACGATTTTATCAAAACTTTTCTAAATTTCAACTACAAAAAGTTGTGATTTACGGTACTCTTATGTAGTGTTAAATATGTAATTTTAACTTGAGAAATCAAGGAATGAATGTTCAAATTATTAGATGCATTGACACTCGTACACCGAACGCCACCATATTTTGGATGAATGGAGTGCTACATAAGAGCAAAAACCTAAATAAATTATGCACCATACACAGTGTACTAAAGTAGAACCACCAAACACACTGTAAGCAATAATTAACATACCCAAGAATGTTGTAAATGCAACATATTGTAGCTTTTGCAGATGAATTGGTATTTCATTTCCAATATCATGATGGATAATTGGGAAGAACGGAGGCCAATTTTTCTTCTCGATAACAATGCCAGCTGCAACTCACATAGGAATTAAACTTGTAAGATACTGCACAAATCACAGGATAGAAGTTCCATCTGAAATACAATATTCTACAGAATTTGAAAATTACCCAAGGAAATCAGAGAAATTGAAAGTTGCATTTGAACAACAGATTACATCAAATGTGAAAGGATGATGGACAACACCATATGAGAAGTATAAGAAGAAAAAAGCAAAAAGAAGTAGCTTAAGATCAAAATCAGAAGGCCCAATCAGGAACATAGAGGAAGAAGTTCCCTCTATCGTTCGTTCTTTCTTCATATGCAGTTAGAAATTTTTTATGGTTTTCTCCCTTCATTTTAGTAGTTTAAATGTCTATAAAAATTTGCATAGAGAAATATCCTAGAAGATCAAAAAGAAAGATAAAGGGTAAAAGACCCCCACAATAATAATAATAATAATAATAATAATAATAATAATAATAATAATAATAATAATAATAATAATAATAATAATAAAGCAAAAGCAAAAAAGCACCTCTTGCTGCAGCATCTTCTCTTTTTTTTAGTTCCTGCACGGCAAAGAAACCAATTAAGTGAAAAACGACTTTGATGCACCAGCAAAGAAGTGCTGAGGTGCAAATAGAGGGAAATGACATTTTCAGCTCAAATAGATCAATATTATTCAATAGTGGTGGCAAACGGGTGGG